GCTGAGACCTGTCTTGATTTGGTATATCCAATGTAGAGAATCAACCAGACTTCCCTGCTCTTGGTGTACGAGAGTTCCTTGGTTATAAGGATGTTGGTGAGAGGTTCCCTGTTAAAATGTTTGGCAAGACTAATTGGACTACCTTCTCCCAGCTAGGATCCAATCTTAGAGCCATGGGTGCATATCTAAGGAGTATTGGTAATCATGCTCAACCTCATACTGGTAATACTGATGATTGTCAAGGAGCATGCTCAGTCATTATGTTTGAGGATACTTGTGATGCTTGGATCACCACTGCTATGGGTGCATGGAGCCAGGATATGTTCATATCAACAGTATATGGTACTCTAGGTCCTGATGCTGTAGCACAGTCTATTCAAGAGAGTTCTGCTACTACTATCTTTTGTAATAGGAAGAACGTTGGTAAGCTTATCGCTAAGAAGGATGATATGCCAACGTTGAAACATATCATCTATACCAATTGGAATATAGATCCTAAGGACTGCAAGGAGAATCTTACAGGTTTTCAGGATTCTGGAATATCTGTTATTGAATATTATGATGCTCTTAAGATTGGTAATGGTATTGTTGATAAGTATCCTATGAATAAGTGTATAGAAGACTCAGTTGCTGTAGTTATGTATACTAGTGGTACTACTGGTAGACCTAAGGGTGTGGTCATGCCTCATAAATCAATACGTTTTACTATTGCAACCGTTATACCTCTAGTTATTGACTACTTCCCCGACCATTTTACTCATCTGGCTTATCTACCATTAGCCCATATATATGAGCTCGCCGTTCATGTTGGTGTGCTCTCTATGGGAGGTCATATTGGTTATGCTGATCCTCATACTATTACTAGAGCTGGTGCCCGACCTACTGGTGCTTTGGAAGAGTTTAAACCTCATCTTATTATGGGTGTACCTAAGATCTTTGAGGTTATTATGAAGGGTGCTAAGGCAAAGTTTGCCAATTTACCACAATGGAAGAGGGAGATCGCTGCAGCAGCACTTGAGTAAGTAGTCTTAACAGTACAATCTTCATCACCACTTCATCATTGTATCAGTTACAAATACCAAGCCATGACTAGTGGTCGTAGTACCCCATTATTCGATCTAATCCTATTCAATAAGATTAAGGCAGCGTTTGGTGGCAACGTGTCAGTTGTCTTATCAGGAGGTGGTGCCCTTTCAGCCGAAGTTCAGAGATTCTGTCTAAGTGTATTCTCATGCCCTGTTATCCAGGGTTATGGGCTTACTGAGACCTGTGCTGGTGGATGTATATCCCTTATGGAAGATACTAGGGGTTCTAACGTTGGACCACCGGTAAGTTGATAATCGGGCGTTATATGCTGTTATTATTATGAGTATTTCAGGAACCTGGTATTGAGGTAATGCTCCGTTCTTGTATTGATGATGATGGTGAACCTGAGGTCCTCGATAAGGCTGGTCTACCTTATCTTAGCAAGGATAGTATGGATGCTGAAGGTTCCCCATGCTTAGGTCGTGGTGAGGTTATGATTCGTGGACCTAGTGCCAGTAAGTGCTATTATAAGCTACCTGAACTAACAGTTAAGTCTTATCTTCCTAATGGATGGTTTAAGACTGGTGATGTTGGTGAATGGTTACCTGATGGAACTCTACGTATCATTGATCGTGTTAAGAACCTAGTTAAACTGAAGGGTGGTGAGTATATTGCCTTAGAGAATATGGAAAGTATCTATGGTGGCTCGGAATATGTTAATGCTCTTGCTGGTGGAGTTATGGTATTTGGTGATTGTACTATGGATCGTCCTGTTGCCCTTGTTCAAGTTAATATTAAACGTCTTGAGAAGTGGGCTACCGATAATGGTATCGAATATAAGGATGCTGATGATTTATTATCTAACTCTGCAGCTAATAAAGAGGTTCTCAGAGATATGACAGATATTCATAAGAAGAGTAACCTATCACCATTAGAGAAGATAGTTGCCGTTACTCTTATGTGTGATCCATGGACTTCTGATAATAAGTGTATGACTGCTACTCAAAAGATCTCTCGTAGTGGTATATGCAATCGTCATACAGAGGTATTGGAAGGGTTAAAGAAGTGTGGTCGTCGGTGATAATACTGCGGCGTGTAACCAGCATTATGCAATAATGAATAAAGGGGGTCCAGCAGCAGCAGCAGCAGCTATCTCTACTATTGTTTGAATTTTTGGCTCGAGAATGATGACCATGTTGTTGATGATATCGATGTTGTTGTTATGATCTATTTGACTTGATGATGATGTTCAGTAATCCTCATGAGACTTAGTCGACGCATTGACAATATCGTCTACCTCCGCTTCTTGCTTTACTACAACTGTAGCTGTTGTTTACCATAACCATAACTGTCACTTACCACCCTTTTCCAACAAGAGGTATTCATAAAATACTACAAGATTCCACCCTTATACTCAGCTTCGCGTTACCAGTGGTAGCTCATAATCATCACCATACTCTAACATCGTCGTAGTATCCTCTATTAGTATGACTGCTACCAACAAGGAAGCATCATCATCTAGTGTTGGTGTATCTATTGCTATTGGGGTACTCAAGGTCATAGACTCCCTAGCTTGGGTCGTATCGGGAGGGCCATTTAGAAAGCCAAAGCCGGTAGATGCAGAGATGAACTCAGAAAGGGTTGGGGAGGAGGTAGTAGTAGTAATGTCAAAGGTTCATCATACTGGTGGTGGTCCTTATCTCAGAATGGTGATGATATTCGTATGAGAACTGGGTGTAAGGATTTCAAATTGGAGTGTGATTGGGCACCTGGTTCGAAGACCTTATTGGACTTAGTGGAATCAAGTGTTAAGCAATATCCTCATATGAAGGCATTAGGTGTTAGGGAATACCTAGGAACGAAGGATGTGGGACAGAAGTAGTACTTCCAGCAACAGCAGCAGCAGCAGCCTTATTATTATAGTTATTCTTTGTAGTGCTCAGTGCACACCTCTTGTCGTCGTTTCCTTAGGTTTCCTGTAAGTGTATTTGGTCCCACGACTTGGACTACTTACAAGGAGCTTTCTACCAATTATCATGCATTCGGTGCCTATCTACGTTATATTGGTAACAAACCACAAATCCATACTAAAGACTTTGATAATGATCTCCTTGGTGAGTATTCAATTGTTATATTCGAGGACACATGTGATATGTGGATTACTGCTGCTCTTGGGGCATGGACTCAGGATATGCTCGTTACTACTGTTTATGGTACTCTTGGTCCCGATGCTGTAGTACAGGCTGTACAAGAAGGTCAGAGGACTACTCTACTTTTGTACAGGAAGAATGTACATAAGATTATTGCTCGACGTAGTGAAATGCCCTCTCTTAAATATTTATATACACCGATCTCAATGTGGATCCTAAAGA